AAGAAAAAAAGGAAAAAAAAAAAAAAAAAAAAGGGGAAAAAAAAATAAAAAAAAGCAAACCACCACCAACCAAAATCCACACCAACACCCGCTCCTCTCCATACACTAAAAAGTCCTTCACAATGAGCCTGGAAGCCTGGCTCCCGCAGCCCAGCCTGCTCCTCACGGGCCTCAGCTTGCTCCTCTCGCTGGGTAAGTGCCGACCTCCTTGCATGCTCACGGCTGCCAGGGGAGAGCATCCAGGCTGGGGGGGAGCCCCCCTTTCCGGCCAGGAGCCCCCTCCCCACGTGCCAGCCCCGAGAAGCCCCTGGTGTCCCTGGGGAGGCAGCGGGCGATGCGGTGCTGCAGGGACAGGGCTGGGTGCTCTGCAATGCACCCTGCTGACCCCTGCCAGCCGGGGTGACCTGCTTCCAGGCAGGGTGGGGGGGTTTGTTGCAATTGCCTCTTCTCTTAAAAAGGGGGGAAAAAAAAAATAAATTAAAAATAAAAGCCTTGCATCCTTGTTGCTGGAGGTTCTGGGCTGTTTGCATGCCAGGGGTGCTGGGCTGCAGTGGGGCTGAGGGGCTGTGCCTGCCTGCTGGGCTGTGGGTGGCCTGTGACTGTGCTGTGGTTGTGGCTGTGCTGTGGTTGTGGCTGGCTGCTGGGGCTGCAGGTGCTGGGCTGCCAGCAGGGCAGGGGGTGGGGGGAACGGTGCTCTCTGCATTTCTGCCCTGCCCCGGAGCCAGGCGTGTGTCAGCAGGTTTGGGTCTGTATTGATTGGAAACAGGAACACATCACCTCTTTGAAGTGCTGCTCGCACCGTCCTGGAGCTCCTGGTGGGGCTGCCTTTGCTTTAGGAGAGAGGCCAGGAAATGGAGGATAAAAAGCCCAGCAGGTTCTGCTTTAGGGGCTGCGTGTTTTTCCACCCGGGTGCAGGGTCTTGTGTGGCAGAGGGCTCAGGAGCCTGCACAGCCTTGCGGGGTGCAGTCTGGATGGGCCATCCCAGGGATTTTTGTGGTTTCTTTCCCTGCCTCTGTTGTCCCTCAGTGCTGGGTGCAGAGTTTGGACCCACATCCATAGGGCACGTGCCTGTGTCGTGCTGGCTGCCTATGAGGTCCCTCTGGCTGAGGCACAGTCCTGCTGTACCAGGTGGCAGAGCCCTCTGCAGAGCCCTGGGGTGCCACCAGCTCAGGCCTGGACATTTCTTCCTTCCTTGGGTGCTGTGACTTGTCCCCATGTGCCAGCTCTCCCCATCTCTGTGCCTCTGTGGGGACCTGGGCCAGGGCTGGAGGGTGCTCAGTGGGGCCCTGCTGCCAGCACCAGCAGGGACTCATCCATCCCTGGGGGACACCCCTGTGTCCCCAGAGAGCTGGCTTCAGGATGCTGCTGGTTTGCACCTTGCAGCAAGACCCACGGCTTGAGGGAGCCATACCTGCCACTTGGAAAAGCCTCTTTTCCCTGGCTGCAGAGCCTGGCCCCTTTCCTGCCCTGCTTGCAGACGGAGCGGATTAGCCAGCGGAGCAGCCTTGACATGCACCCAGCTTGGCCACAGGGCTGGAGTCAGGAGCACCTCAGGAAGAAGATTTGAGAGCAAAGAGCAGCAGCCCAAGGGGAGAGGTGAGGTGATCGGAAAAGCACCTGCTGCCCGTGTCACTGTCCCTGCCCTGTGCAGAGCCTCCTCCCACCAGTCCTGCCAGGGCTCTCCATCCCTGTGCCTCTCGGGGCTCAGCCAGGCAGTTGGCAGCTCGATGGTCTCTGTGTGCCCTCCCCTTTGCAGGCTGGGAGAAGGTGCTGGATGCAGGCACTGGGTTTTGGGGGCTGCTGGGGGCAGGTCACTGCCCTGTTTCTCTGCCACAGCGAGGCCAGCGTGCAGGGACTGTCCTTGTCCCCCCAGCACTGGCCAAGATCTTGACCCCGTTATTCCCAGATGGACAATCCTTTCCTGAGCATCACAGAAGTGGGGATGGGGGGTGGGGGGAAGCATCAAAACTGCTGCAGCCCTCAGGAGCTGGCCCTGGCAGATCCCAGCCCTGCTGCTGTTGTGCATCCTGCTGGGAATGAAATCTGATGAGCGCAGCCATAAATTTCCCGGTGGCTGTGACGCTGAGCCCTGCATGCTGATGCTGCATCCAGCCCTGCGGAGCCCGGCTGCTGCTGCAGCAGGGAAGCCTCACCAAGGGGCCAGGCACGGGGCTTGCCTGGAGGCAGCAGAGTTTAGCACCAGGCACCATCCAGCCACGCAGAAAGATCCTTGCAGAGATGGGCCAAGGGATGGTTCCAGGGCTGGGGCTGCTCCCCCCCGTGTCCCCTGTCACTTCTGCACAGGGAAACCCTAATCCTGGCTGGCCACAGCATGGTCTGCGTGTGGATGCGCCTGAAAGGCAGCCCCAGGCCCTGAGGTGAGGTCTGTGCAGCCAGCTGGTGAGCAGGGTGGGATGGGGAGACCAGCTGAGGCAGCAGCGTGGCTGCCTTGCCCCCTTCCTAACTCCTCTGCCTCTCTGCTCTCTGTGTTTGCGGCAGCGCCCCCAGGACTGGGCATGGGGGCGGCAGCGCCCACAGGACTGGGCATGGAGGTCATGGCTCCTGCCACCATCAATGCCCTGAATGGCTCCTCTGTGAAGCTCTCCTGCACCTTCAACTCCTGCTACAAGGTGGAAAACAAGCAGTTCTCCCTCAACTGGACGTATCAGGAGTGCAAGAACTGCTCTGAGGAGCTGGTGAGTCTTGCTGGGGATCTGCTGGGAGGTCCTGGGAGCAGCTTGAAGTAGTCGTGTGTGTTCCTTGGAGTGTCCTTGTGTGTGGTCCTGTTATCCAGCCCTTCTCCACCACAGGGAAAATTAGCAGCCAACAGAGTAAAGAACCAGGGGTCAGGGGCAGAGGGGTCAGAGCAGCAGGGGAGCTGCTCAGGGATGATCTGCTGTGGAGCCAGGGGGCAGGGGCCAGAGCAGCACGTGCAGGGGAAGGGCCCTGGGCTGGGGAGGGGTCCCAAACACCATCTCACCTCCTGTCCCGTGCGGGCTGCCCAGTTCTTGCAGTTCCGGATGAAGATCGTGGACAAACACCTGGACCGCTTTGGGAACCGGGTGGAGTTCACCGGGAACCCCACCAAGTACGACGTGTCCTTCACCCTCAACAACGTGCAGCTGGAGGACGAGGGCACCTACAACTGCTATGTCCTGAACCCCCCGGACCGGCAGCGGGGCCATGCCAGCATCAGCCTGAAGGTGCTCACCAAAGGTAAGTGGTGGAGTGGTCCCCTCTGCTGCCAGGCACCCACGGGTGCTGGGCTGGCTCTGCTCTCCCTCGTTGCACACGCAGGGTTTGTCCCCCCACCGTTGCACCCAGGTGGATGCTGCCATGCCCTGAGCCTGTGCCCTGTCTCCCCAGAGCCCCCCAAGCACGACTCCACAGTGGCTGTCATCGTGGGCGCCTCTGTTGGTGGCTTCTTGGCCGTGGTGATCCTGGTGCTGATGGTGGTGAAATGTGTGCGCCGGAAAAAGCAGCAGAGGCTGAACACGGACGACCAGAAGACGGAGGAGGAAGGGAAGACAGATGGTGAAGGCAACCCGGATGAGGGCACCAAGTAATGCCGCCCTGCCTGCCCCTCCCTCTTCACCTCTGTACAGCG